GCGCGCGGCTTGTCCAGCATACGCTGCCGTCAACCCGAATCCGCCGAGTCGCGGCGCGCCCGTCCGCGACGCAAGAACATGCGCGCCTGTGCGTGTTTACATGGTGTGTGGTGTGTATGCATGTGTGTGGTGTGTGTGGTGCCTGGTGTAAGGTGTGTGCATGTGTGTGTGAGTGTGTGTTTGAGTGTGTGTGTGTGACCTTTTTGTTTTCCCGCGTGTAGGCGTATGCGCTCTGTGTGTATGCGTGGCGCATCCCAGAGCCTCCAGATGTTTCCGAACGTCTCCAGAGGTCTCCAGCTGGGGAGCAGGAGGGGTACGACGACGACCACCACGACGGCGGCCACGACGACGGTGACGACGACGTCGACGACGTTGTCGACCACGACGACGAGGAGGACGACGACGACGAAAACGACGATGGCGGCGGCAGCGGCGGCGGCTGCGATTACGACAGTGCCGGCGTCGCCCAGGGGCCCGTCGCCCAATCCATGTGGTCGGGTTCGTGCTCCTGGGATGTCGACCTCACGGGCAACAGCTGCCAACACGGGCCCGCGTTCATGGCCGCTCCGGGGGGGGGGGGGGGAACACCCTCTCAGCTGTTATTGCGGATCTTCTTCGTCCAAGTCATCCTTCTATTCTTCCTCGACCTCCTCATCCTCCTCCACCTCCTCCTCTTTCTCGTCCCCCTCGTCCTTCGTTTCGTCCTCGTCGTTTACTCTCCACCGCGCCCAAGCTCGAGCCGCTCGGCCCGAGTGGCTGCTGCACCGCGCCCGCGCTCGGGCCGGCTGCGGTGCACGAGCCGCCGTTGGGCGCGGCAGCAGTGCCGCGGTGCCACTGCGTCCCGTGGCCTCAGGGCGGGGGTGTCGGATGAGACTGAAGAAACCAGCGCAGCAGCGGCGACACCGTCGACCACGAGCTCCACCTCGGCGGCGACCTCATGGGGCAAGGAGGGCGCGGCCGCAGTGCTGGCAGGGGCTGGCCAGCAGGCTGGGCGACCAGCGCGCCGCGGCGCGGCCAGCGGGGAGCGCAGCTGCCAGAGCAGCTGGCACAAGAGCAGCGCCTGCTCGGCCTGCGCTGGGTGTCGTGCGGCAGCGAGCGGGGTCTGCAGTGGGCGCACGGGGAGAGCAGGCGGAACGCGGCGGCGTGTCAGCCGTGGACAAGGCCGAGGGCGCCCCCCCCCGCTCCAGGACGCGGCGGACGACGGCAGAGTAGGAGGAGGAGGGAGGAGGAGGAGGAGGAGGAGGAGGAGGAGGAGGAGGAGGAAGGAGGAAGAGGAGGAGGAGGAGGAGGAGGAGGAAGGGGCAGAGAAGGAGAGGATACGGAGGAGGAGGAGGAGAGGAGGAGAAGAGGAGGCAGAGGAGAAGGCGAGGAGGAGGCGGAGGAAGAAGAAGAAGGAGGAGAAAGAAGGAGGAGGAGGAGGAGGCGGAGGAGGAGGAGGAGGAGGCGGGAGGAGGCGGAGGAGGAGGAGGAGGAGGAGGAGGCGGAGGCGGAGGCCGACGCGAGGAGGGGCCCGCGCAGACTGCCCGCGCCGACCGCGGCGGAGCCCCCGGCCGTGGCCGGAGAGCGCCCGCCGCGCCGCTCAGCAGAGGCGCGGCCTCTGCCGCCGCGGGGCGCCGCTGGGCGGAGAGGGCGGGCTCTCGGCGGCGGCCTCTGCGCCGCCGAGGCCGCGGCGGAGCGCCGCGGGGCTCGGCAGCGCGCCCGGCGCCGGGGCCTCCAGCGCGGCCTCTGCGCGGCCAGCGCGGCCCGCGCGGCCTTAGGGGGCGGCGCGGCGGCGCGGCGGCGGCCGACGGCGCAGGCTCGAGGCCGGCGGCCGCGGAGGCCCGAGCGGCGGCCGCGGCCGACGGCCGCGGAGGCCCGAGCGGCTCGGGCTCGGGCTCGGCCGCGCGCCTGGGCTGCGCGCCAGGGCGAGGGCGTGGGGAGCCGCGCCGCCGCGCGCCCGCGGCGTCCTCGGCGTCCTCCTTACCCCTGCCACGAGACTCAATAGTTGTTGTCCTCGCGATCAGGCTCCTCCGCCCCGTCCCCGCCCCCCCCCCGCCCTCGTTGTTCTCACGTCTCTTCTCCTCGTTGTCATCTTCCTGTGCGTCCTCCGCTTCCCCTTCCCCCCTCTCCGCCTACCTACTCTCCCTTTCCAGTGCTCATGCTCCTCTTTCTCTGCCTACTCCCCAGTCTCCCCCTATTCCGCCCCTGTCCTGTGCGTCCCCATCCACCTCGTCATTACTTTTATCGATATGTTCATACACACGCACCTGCTATAGCTAGATGTACATGGTTGATCTGTTGTTCGCAACTGTACATATATCTATATACGTATCTCTACAGTTCTGTGTGTGTGCGCACACTGCCCCATAGCTGTCGTCCGAAAGCGGCCGCCGAGCCGTGAGCGATCAGGCGAAGTGCTTTGATTGCCACAGTGCCGCGCACACCTCGTGCGAAAACGACGCTGGTGCTCCGGCGCGGCGTACGCGCGGTCCTCGCCACTCATCGGACGTTTGTCCGCGCGCGAAGGGGCGGGACAGTGCTCTCGCTGAGACGCCGCGCAAAAGGTTTTCTGAGTGCTTCGGTCCAGCCGGCGCGCGGCCGGTGTTCTCGCCAAGTCGTCGGAGGCGGGACCGCGCGCGAGTGCCTTCCCTTCGCTGGGTGGGAAGGCACGTCGGCCCCAACATCCTGCTTCGATGTCGTGGGGTGGAGGGTGGGTATGGGCGGGGCCGGTTGACTCGGTCGACCTGGCCAGCTCCTCCTCCTCCTCCTCCTCCTCCTCCTCCTCCTCCTCCTCCTCCGTCTCCTCCTCGTCCCCCTCGCCCTCGTCCACTGCGCCATCACCCGTGTCCTAGTCGACCTCCTCCTCCTCCTCCTCCTCCTCCTCCTCCTCGTTCCGCCACGCCGCCATGCCTTCTTTTTCCTTGTGGCGTTTTCTCTGGGCGCTGCTCGCTTCGAGCTGGGCAGACCGAGTCCGAAGTTCGAAGCCCTTCCCGTCTTCTCCCCCTCGCTTCGTCCCCTCCCGCCTCCCCGCTGCCCGATCAAGGGGCTCGCCAGGGAGAGATCTGCTCACGCCGGGGCGCCTCCCGCGACGCTGGCGACGGCGACGACGCTGGCGGCGACGACTGCGACGACCACGACGGCAGCGACGAGGAGGGCGACCATGACGATGATGATGCCGATGTTGATGTTGATGTTGATCATCATGCTGATGCTGATGTTGAACTGATGCTGCTGATGCTGATGTTGATGCTGACGCTGACGCTGACGCTGCTTATGATGATGATGCTGATGCTGATGCTGATGCTGATGAGAATGATGATGGTGGTGGTGATGATGATGATGACGACGATGATGATGATGATGATGCTGCTGCTGATGATGATGATGATTATTATGATGATGAGTGATACGATGACAGCGACGACGACGACGACGGAAACGACGATGACGACGACGACGAGGTAAACGGCGACGGCGATGACGAAGATGACGAATACGAAAATCATGGCGACGCTGACGAGGATGACACGGACGACGGCAAGGCCGATGCCGAAGACAACGACGACGACGACGACGACGACGGTGGTGGCGGCGGCGACGACGGTCACGACGGTAACGACGTTGGGGGCAACGACGGCAACGACGAGAGCGACGACAACGGAAACGAAGACGATGACCACGAAGACCGCGGGACCCTTCCTGCGGTGCATGTTGAGGCGGTACGGCGAGACTTTGATTGCCTGGGGCGACGAGGGAGACGGCGAGAGGCGACGGGAGACCCCCCAGATCCCCCACAGGGCAGAAAAGCGTCGGACATATGTGAGCATCGATCCTAGCACGACCGGCGTCGACGACGACGACCCGTGCATCCGACGCCGTGATTGCGCAACCTGGCCCCCCAAAGGCCTGGACCGCTTCCCGTGCCCAGCCATGCTGAGCAGCTCGGCTTTGACGGTCTCGGGGCCCGGCACGTTTCCCGTGGCACGTGCGCCGGCTGCTGGCGCCATGCTCCGTGTTGATCTGTGCTGTGCCACGCCATGCCCTGATTACCGCTCCTTCGGCGCTCGTTCTCCTCCGCCTCCGCTTCTGCCCGTCGTGGCGCCGATGCTTTTCTCGGCGAGCGCGCATCCATGTGCGTTACTTCGGCCACACTCGCTGGACAGCTTTTACCTTGCGAGTGGCACTGGCGCTTCCGCTTTCACCAAACACCGCTTGCCGTGATCTCTCCGCGACGCGAGGCTGTCCAGGGACGGCGACGTCGACGTCGACGTCGACGACGACGTCGATGACGGCGACGACGGCGGCGACGACGGCGACGACGGCTATGACGACGACGACGGCGACCCTGAGATCCGAAGTTGCGCAAAACACTGCAGCATCCCGGAAGATCACGACCGCAGCCCTAAACCCCATCTTTCTGTTGCTTCTCGTGCCGCCGCATCGATGTGTGAGGGCCCAGGGCCCCGAAAGCGGGCGGAAACGCCCGCTCGGGAAAAATTGCAACGCCCAGACCTCGGGGGACGCGACACGTGCCTGGCGCGAAGCCGGGCCTGTCCTTCCGCAGGAGGATTGTTCAAACATAGCCAAAAAATATAGTGTGGGGACGATCTTCTCCGAGTATTTTGAAGACCTGTTCCATTACTTGTTGACTATGTGTTATTCCCTACCTAGGCTCTGCCTAGAAGGGTTCTTACTTTGTAAGCTTAAAGGGGCTGGGCAGTGGAACTCGCCCCGGGCGGTTCCCCCAGTATCCGCCCCGCGGTTCCCCCAGTGACGTTCCCTTAGCTTCGCGTTGCTTATCTCATCTTAGCTTAGCTTATTTCATCTTAGCTTCGGTTTGCTTCATCCCAGCTTCAGCTTAGCTTCAGCTTAGACTCACCGTTGCTACTAAGGCTGCTTTCCTAGGGGCTCCAACTCCTAGGTAGGGTCGCACCGGGGTAATTGTTCGTCCAAGCTCAGCCTGTGGGAGGACACGCCCCACCTCAGCCTTTCGGTGCGGGGCGGAGGTCGGAGAGCTCCGCATGCAGCTGCACTTCGAGCCGGGCCGGCGGCTCTCCGACGTGCCCCGGGAGCGGCAGGGGGGCGTGGGGCGGCCAGCGCGCGGGAGGAGGAGGAGGAGGAGGAGGAGGAGGAGCAGGAGGAGGAGGAGCAGGAGGAGGAGGAGGAGGAGAAGAAGGAGGAGGTGGCGGAGGTGGCGGAGGAGGAGCAGGAGGAGAAGGAGGAGCAGGAGGAGGAGGAGGAGGAGGAAGAGGGTCAAGGCTCCCAGGCTCCCGACGGGATTCGAAGGATGAAACCCGAATACACATGAACTCTCGGAGCTCCGCGCGTACCTCCGAAAGTTTGTGCTTGTGCCGCTGCAGTGCTCCTCGACTGGCCCTGGTGCTGCGGGCTGTTCTGTGGGCAAATTGGTAATTGGGTGAGGCAGCGCTTGTCAGAGGCGGCGCACGGCATTGCTAGGGGGCCAGATGCGAACCCTACCCCTACCCCCCAGGATGCCTGAGGGGGAGGGTGGGGTTCACTTCGTGGGGGGTAGGGGTAGGGTTCGCATGTGGCCCCCTAATTGCTCGGCTTGTTGTTCTTGGGCGAGGCATTAATCAAAGTTCCCAGGCCCCCCTCACTGGCGGAGCGCGCCAGGCGCCAGGGGCGGCGCCAGAGGCGCCGCCAGGAGGACCCAGCGCCGATGCCAGAGATCCGCGCGGAGCTCCGAAAAGTGTACGTCTACGCAGCTTGCTGCTGCTCCTTCACTCTTGGCGAGGATCCTGCCCGGAAGCTGGAGACAGACGACGCGGCCGGCCTGGGCGAGAGCGGGGCGCACACGCGAGAGGCGCTCCAGAGAGGGCCTTTGCCTTCGAGGGTCGAGGCAGGAAGGGCCTCTCCTCCGCCGCGGTGGACGGCGGAAGGTCGGTGGAGGCAACGCGAGGCGGCCTCCTCCGGCGGGCGGCGGAGGGCGGCGAACGTCGGAGGCAAGACAAACAAAAGACAAAAAAGCCTCCCAGGAGAGGGAAACGTTTTGTGGGTTCACGGGTTTCCGAACTCCGCCACGCGTGGCCAGACGTTCTTTCGAGCGCTCGACCCCTCGAGGTGGCCAGGGGCGCCAGGCTTCTGCGGTCGCGTCCGGCGCGCGGACGTTCCGCGCGTGCATCCGACCATGCGCGCTTCCAGTTTTTCCGGTCAAGGACGACGTTAGGGTTAGAGAGCCCAGGGTTCGCTAGGGACTGGTTTCCCCCGAAACATCGAAGACCCTTCGAACACCCTCCCGAAACCCACCGAAAACCTTCCTGGAACCCTTCCCGAAGGGTTTTCGGAGGGTTTATGAAGGTTTCGGCTGTTTTGGGGGCAGTGAAGGGCTTATGAAGGGTAGATTAAGGGTTTTATGAAGAGTTTTCGGATGGTTTATGAAGGGTTTATGAAGGGCTTCGGCTAGGGGGGAATAGGGAATAGGCTCAATGGGGGACGCATCGACCCCGGATCGCCCATTGATCGCCGATAGTGGCCTGATAGCCCACCCCGTCCAGGAACGTGCGGAGTCGCGATCGGGAGCTTATCGCCGACGCATCGGCGATGTCTCGCCGATTCTGGGTCGATGCTTCCCCCCTGAGCTGGCCCCCCTCCCCTAATCGTTCCCCCACATCCAGGTAGGTCACACGCAGGAGCGCAAAGGTCGCCTTTCGCGGTCCAGCCTGGCTCAGGGGGCCCCGCGAGGGCTCGCAGATGACCTCGCCGAGCGTGTCGTGCGCGAAACGTGAGGTTAGGCGGCAGAGGTCTCAGGAGATCCCTGGAAACCTTGGGAGACCTCCAGAAGTACAGAGGGCGACATGAAGCCTTTGAAGCCACAGTGGGTTCAATGATTTGCAGCATACTCGTGAGAGCATCATTGTCGTTTAATTCGTCTCCTGTGTAGTTCTGCCGAAAGTGTTACAAAACATGCCCAACTACACCATGAAGGTCAGGAAGGTTGCACAAGTTCGTTAGAAAACCTGTAGCTTGTCGTTGGCTCCCAGTGTAGCCATACAACTTCTAAGCGTGGGCGTTTTTCATGCCCACAGGTCTGCTTCTGAAGAACTCGGCTAACCGCAAGCTGTGACAACCCCATGAGTGACCCTCCAGTGCTTCTTGTATTGTATGAGCCTGGGCACGCACGTGCCACTCAAACACATATAAGGTACACATATATGTATACACGCGGAAGTATGAAAGAGCGCGCTCGTGGCACACTTCTCATTACAAGGGGAGCCCCCGCTTCAAGCTCTCCCCCTTCCGAAGCTCCCCCCTCTCCCCTTTTGTAGGCATTTGTTTAGCTGGGGGGGCTCTCGCTAAAAGGGGGTGGGCTTGGAAACAAACTAAGAAACTGTGGTCGCTTGAAGGGCGAGGGGGGGTGAAACCGGACCCGCCCCCCCCTGGATGGGGGGGGAAGGGGTTCGAACCCCCCCCCCGTGACGGATGGGGGGAGGGTTCGAACCCCCCCCGTTCCCTGCTGCACCTCTCCTCGGGCCAGCACTTGCGTCGGCGGCGGCGACGGCGGCGGGGACGACGACTTCCATTTCTGGGCCGGCGCCGGCGGCTGCGGCGGCAGAAGGCGGTGGCGGGGAGCGTCGACGGGGACGACGGTGGTGGTGGTGGTGGTGGGTTGTGGTGGTGGTGGTTGTGGCGATGGTGGTGGTTGTGGTGGTGGTGGTGGTGGTGTGGTGGTTTGTTGTGGTGGAGGTGGTTGTGGCGGTGGGTGTTGGTGGTGGTGGTGGTGGCTTGGTGGTGGTGTGGTGGTGGTTCGTGGTGGTGGTTGTGGCGGTGGTGGGTTGTAGTGGTGGTGGTGGTTTGGTAGTGGTGTGGTGATGGTTGTGGTAGTGGTGGTGGTGGGGTTGTGGTTTGTGGCGGTGGTTTGTGGAGGTGGTGGTGGTGGTGGTGGTGGTGGTGGTGGTGGTGGTGGTGGTGGTGGGGGTGGGGGTGGTGGTGGTGGTGTGTGGTGTGGTGGTTTGTGGTGGTTGTGGGTTGTGCTGCTGGTAGTGGTGGTGATTGTGACGGTGGTGGTGGTGTTGTTGGTAGGTTGTGGTGGTGGTGGTGGTAGTGGTGGTGGGTTTTTGTAGTGGTGGTGGTGGTGATGGTGAGTTGTGGTGGTGGTGGCTGTGGTGTGGTGGTGGTGGGGTGGTGGTTTGTGGTGGTGGTGGGGGTTGTGATGGCGGCGGTGGTTTGTGGATTTTGTTGTGGTGGTGGTGGTGGTGTGGTGGTGTGGTGTTTGTGGTGATGGCGGGGGTTGTTCTGCTGGTGGGGTGTGGTTGCGCGGTTGGTGGTGGTGTGGTAGGTTGTTGTGGTGGTGGTGGTGGTGGTAGTGGTGGTGGCTCGTTGTGGTGGTGGTGGTGGTGGCGATGGTGAGTTGTGGTGGTGGTTGTGGTGGTTGTGGTGGTGGTGGTGGCTGTGGTGGTGGTGGTTGTGTGGTGTTGGTGGTGGTGGTGGTGGTTGAGGCGGTGTGGTGGTGGTGGTAATGGTGGTGGTGGTGGTAGTGGTGGTAAGTGTCGCTGCGTCCCCGCCGTCGCCAGCGCCAGCGCAGGCGCTGCTGGTGGCCGCCAGCGCCGACGCCGGCACGTGTGGGGGGTGGGGGTTGAACCCCCCCCCCCCGCTGGCGCCAAAGGGGGGGGGGAAGGGTTTCAAACCCCTCTCCCCCCCTCCCTGGGCTGCCTCTGGTCATCGTCGCTGCGTCCCCGCCGTGGGCGCTGCTGGCGGCCGCCAGCGCTGGCGCCGGCGCCGAAGGGGGGGTTTTGAACCCCGCCCCCCCTTGATCGACGGCGCCGAGTGTTGGGGGGGGGGCCCACCCCCTGGCTCGAAACGCGCCGCCGAATGTTCCCCAGGCAAGCTCCCGTGGAACGCGTTCTCTCGAAACTACGTACCCCCCCTCCCCCCTTGTCGGAGCTCTGGGTAAGCCCTGGCCCCCCTTTCCAAAGGGGAGGGGGGCTTCCGAAGCTACCCCCCCCTCCCTTCTGTTTGGATTTTGTAGCTGGCGGGTCCCTGACTACAGGGGGGGGCTTGGCAGCTACCCCCTCCCCTCCTTTGCGGGGCCCGGTGTAAGCCCGGCCTCCCCTTTCCGAAGGGGGGGGCTTCCCAAGCTAGATGGATGGCCGTGGCTGGAAGGGAGGGCTTCGAAGCTACTTTTCTTATTTGGTTTTTGGCGCCCCGTTGGTTTTCGGCGTGCTTGTGGTTTTCTGCGTCTCTTTGGTTTTCGGCGCATTTTTGGTTTTCGGCGACCCTTGGGCTTTGGCGCCCCTTTGGTTTTCGGCGCTCCTTTGGTTTTCGACGCTCCTTTGGTTTTCGGCGCTCATGTGGTTTTGGGCGCCCTTTTAGTTTTCGACGCCCCTTTTGGTTTTCCGTGCACTCTTTCGTTTTCAGCGCACCGTTGGGTTTCGGTTCCGTCTTAAGTTCCGGGCGCCCTCTTGGTTTCCGGCGCCCTTTTGATTTTCGGCGCCCTTTGATTTTCGGCGCCCTTTTAGTTTCGGCGCTCTTTGGTTTTCGGCGCCCCTTAGGTTTTGGGCGCCCTTCGGCTTTCGGCGCGCCTTTGCTTTTTGGCGCTTGGTTTCGGACGTCCTTTTGATTATCGTCGCGTCTTTTGTATTTCGGCGCCTTGTTGGTTTCCGGCGCCCTGTCCGTCTTCGGAGTTTCTTTTGTTTTCGGCGCCTCTTTGGTTTTCGTCTCCCCCATTGGTTGTCGGCGCTCCTTTGGTTTTCGGCGCCTCTTGAGTTTTCGGCGCCCGCTGGTTTTCGGAGCCTTCTTTAGTTTTCGGCGCTTCTTCGGTGTTCGGCGTTCGTTAGGTTTTCGGCGCTTTCTGGTTTTCGGCTCCCGTTTGGTTGTCGGCGCACTTGTGGTTTTCGATGCCCTGTCCGTCTTCGGAGCTTCTGTTGTTTTCGGTGTTCGTTTGTTTTTGGCGCCCTTTTGATTATCGGCGCCCCTTTGTTTTTTCGGCGCGCTTTTGGTTGTCGGCGCTCCTTTGGCTTTCGGCGCCCCTTTGGTTTTCGACGCCCGCTGGTTTTCGGCACCTCGTCGGTTTTCGGCGTTTGTTAGGTTTTCGGCGCTTTCTGGTTTTCGGTTCCCGTTTGGTTGTCGGCGCCCTTTTGGTTTCCGGCGCCCCGTCCGTCTTCGGAGCTTCTGTTGTTTTCGGTGTCCCTTCTGTTTTTGGCGCCCTGTTGGTTACCGGCGCGCCTTTGTTTTTTTCGGCGCCTTTTTGGCTTTCGGCGTTCCTTTAGCTTTCGGCACCCCTTTGGTTTTCGGTGCCCTTTGTTTTTCGGCACCTCTTCGGTTTTCGGAGTTCCTTTGGTTCTCGGCGCGTTTGTAGTTTTCGGCGCCCCTTTGGTTTTCGGCGCTCCTTTGGTTTTCGGCGCCGTTTTGGTTTTCGGTGCTATTTGGTTGTCGGCGCCCCGTTGGTTTTCTGCGCCGTTTTGGTGTTCGGTGCCCTTTTGGTGTTTGGCGGCACTCTGGTTGTTGGCGTTCCTTCGGTTTTCGGCGCCCTCCTGGTTTTCGCACCCTTTCGGTTTTCGGTGGCCCTTCGGTTTTCGGCGCCCCTTCCTTTAGCTAAATGAGGGGGGGGGGGGGGGGGGGCTTCCAGCCTTCCCCCCCCTTAGCCCAAAAGAGGGAGAGGCGGGGGGGGGCTTCCAGCAGGGGGGTTCGAAGGGGGAGGGGTATCTAAGCCCGCCCCCTTTGGAAAGGGACGGGGGGAGGGGCGGGAGCTTCCTGAACGCGAAAGGCGGGGGAGGGGGCGGGTAGCTTCCGCGAGGCAGAAAACAAGGAGGGGTGGGGCTTCGGGCAGGGGAGGTCCAAGGGGGACGGGGGAGACAGCTGAGCCCCCCCCCCTCTTTGGACAGGGAGGCGGGGGGAATAGCTTCCGGAGCGCGAAAGGAGAGGGGGGGGGTAGCTTCCGATGGACGAGAAAAAAGAGGGGGGAGCTTCCGCAGGGGAGGTCCAAGGGGAAGGGGGGGGGGTAGCTAAGGGGGGTCCTCTTTGGGAGTGTGCCACGGGCGCGCTCTCTCGCACGAAAGTGCAGCCACCGTGAGCCTTTTTTTGTCTTGGAATATCCAAGGGGGTTCACGGAAGTCGCGTTGGTGTTGAGATTGTCGCGGATGATGTTGAGGGGTGGGCGGTGTGTCGGACAGCGAAGGCGTTGAGTATTACGTGGTGGGTGTTGTTGAGTGCGTTGGGCGGCGGGCGGCGGCGAGCGGCAGGCGGGACCAGCTTTTGAGTACAATTCCGAAGGAAGCCGTCTTGACGTACCAGGCCGTGTGTTGGAGACCGAGGCTGTGATGTATTGGTCTGTGTGTTGGAGACGTGCGCTGTCGAGTACTGGGTTGCGCGTTGGGGCCCGGGGCTCTAGAGTATAGTGCGTGGTGTTGGAGAGGTGGGCGGGGCGGGCGGCTGTGACGGGCAGCGGGCGGTCCGCTGGTTTTGAACATATATCTCCTAAGGGAGCCATCTTGGAGACGGAGGCAGCGGAGCGTTGAGTCCTGTTTTGGGGGCCGGAGCTGTGGAGTACTGGGTGGCGTGTTGGAGACGGAGGCTGTGGAGTGTTTGGTTGTGTGCTCGAGGCGGAGGCTGTGGAGCATCGAGGGCGTGGTGCTGGAGAGGCGGGCGGGGCGCATGGCGGGCGGCGGCCCCACCGGGGCCGGCGGCTTCAAGGTTTGGAGTTCAACTCCTGAGACGGAGGCCGTGAAGTACTGGGTTGTGCGTTCGTAACGGAGGTTGTGGAGCATTGGGTTGCGTGTTAGATGTTAGAGACGGAGGTTGTAGTGTACCCTGGGGGCACATGCCAAGAAACACCCTGCTTGCCTCCAAGGTACTTTGTTGTTCTTGGGTTTCGATGGTTTTGCTTTGGAAAGCGTGACGTTCCCACACCAGAAATCCATGGATGTCCTGGTGTCTCAGTGTTGGGTTTCTTGCGGTCGGGCCCCTAATGTATCGGGTTGTGTCTTGGAGAGGTGGGCGGGGCGGGCGGCAGGCGGCGGCGTCGGGCGGGCATCGTCCGAACTGGTGCCCGAACGGATTTTTGGAACTGAGCTTCAAATCTGTGAACGGAAAACACGAGGCGCCATGGAGAACTCAGCAGCGGAGTGCACATCGGGGGATTCAGGGAGGGTGCACAGGGACATTTGTGTATAGTGTCTACGCGTAGATGGGGAAGAAGCCAAGAGGTGCCAATACCATTGCCCTCCTGGACCTCTCCCGGGGTGCGTTCTGACCAGGATGTCGAGGCGAATCCAGCGGTGGCGGCGAGGGCCTCCCAGGTGGCCCAAAGAAGGGAAAGCTAGGGAAGGGTAGAGGTATGGGTACCCTTCTCCTCTGAGTATAGATACTGAAGCGCCAGCCCAAATTCACGCTTCCTTCGAGGCCTGCAGTTTCGCTTGAGCCAGTTGTTTTCTTGACTCGGGGAAGTTTACTTCCATGGCGTTCGCCCCCCCCCCCCCCCCTCGTCCCTCCTCAGACGAACACTGGCGTGCAAGTGCCTTCCGAATTGCGTGGCTTCCGCACGTGCAAGTCGTTTTTGTTGCGTCTGGCCTCAGGTTCAAGCACCCCTCCGTCCATGCAAGTAAATTTGCCGGAGTCTTGTATCTATATATCTATATATATATATATATACACATACACATACATACATAAACAAAGAATGCCCTTTCTCCCTCCGAACACGGAATCTGGGCACACACACACACACACCGGGGAGGCGAGCCCCCTGCACCTGGTGCTCCTCGACGGCGCGGGCTCGAGTCCTGGAGACCTCCTGCGGGACCGCTGCTCTGCTTGGCGTTCGGGGGCGTCGAAGGGAGGAGGAGGAGGAGGAGGAGGAGGAGGA